TTCCTATAGACACCTCCCATGTACATAGATCAACCCATCGTTGTGGGGACTCTCGCTAAGGGAATTCAGCTTAAAAAGAATGACACATCTCCTCTTGTTTCTAACAAACTTGTATAATCACCAGCTTTTCTGTATTCTACTTAACACCAGGAGAAGGCATGTTAATCTTTTAAGATGATTGCACTTAATGAGAGCCCCTACAGAGTTGAGTCGGTATATGTAGACCCATGGTGACAATGGGAATGGGGCCTAAAATAGTTAAAACTAGGATCACTTGTTATAGGTATGCATGTAATTTTAGTGAATGTGTGGTTTGAACTTTCAGGTTCCATAAATTAAAAGGTTATCGCTATCAATCTCCATACTAATGTCTATCACCTTCCATGACTATGAAAATGCTCATTTTTTTAATGCACCAGGAACCTTTATATATCAAAACATACATCTTAATTACGTATTAGTGCCTTGCATTTACTAATGAACAAACATATTTTCTATTTCAGGAGCTTTGTTCCAACCCTGATCTGTTTGTAGGGGGTGCCAGCAGATTTGATGTTCAGCAAGGAGAATTGGGTAAGAAATATTTTTAGAGAGATGTCTTTCCTTTGCTTTGGAAAAATCCTATCATTGGATTTTAGCCTTCAGTTGTTTTCACATGCCCTTTAAATTGTCTGATGAAAAATTTAAATGGAAATATTGATGTGTCTACCTCATAAGCAAATACTGTAATAACAAGCTAAATTATGAATTCTTCAGAAATAGTTTCATGTTTTCCTGAACTGACTCCCATTATAGTATGGTGATAACTTCCCTAGTTGATAAGATTTGAAGATATGATCAGGATGTGTTCTACTCTTTCCTGCGGTACTTACCTGTGCCACAAATTGCTATCATTTAACAAACTCTGAATATAATAATAATAATATTAATAATAATAATAATAATACCTTTGTTGCATAGGCATGTACCAAGGGGGCAAACTGGTTATAGGATGGCATCCTCAATTTTTTTATAATATTTTAAAATCAAAGTGTTTTTTATTTATAAAGATCGACTGGAATTGAATTATATTTTCTTTCCTTTTAAAACATCTTTTAATTACTAACAATTTGACCTGTGGTTATTTAAGATGTGAACACCTTACACTGGGCTAGAAGACTGTCCCCATATACTCTGCACTGATTTTGATGCTGCTAGTTTGTTCATTGCTATGTAAAATGTTAGACACTCTTGTCAACAAGCTCTTAAAACCTGACATGAATCTTGGTTTAAATCTGCTTACTACATTCTCCAGCCCCACAATGTAAGCACTTTGGCTTAATATGACCCATAAAATTACTAAAATCCAAAAAGATACCGTTCCAGTATAGTCTAAGTTGTTTCCTGTCTATTTTAGTTACTCTGTTAAATTCTGTATTACATGGTATAAGCATAACTTCTGAAGGTGTAATGCATCATTATTTAGCTTATAAATACTTTCTTCAAAAACTGTTGTTCTTTTGATTTGTAACATTATTATTTTTGACTTAATATAAACATTTCTCAATATATACATACATACACAAAAAGTAATCATAATACTCTCAAACATATTATATTATTTAGGCTCATTTTCAGGAAGAACATACAGGCATATTTACATATTGCAACACAATATCTCATTATTTGGGCATGAAACTTGGAAAACTTGCATGAAATATCATTTGGTATCGCTGAGAAATATCACTGTTGCAAAAAATCAAATGCGGGTAGTTCCCTATTATGAAATTCTCCATGAACCAATATAGTGGATGAGATTCAATCTAATTATTTCAACTAAGATGCATTTTTATGTGCTGACATATAGTGTTTTCGATCAGTTCTTGGTTTACATAGTTATTTATGATAAGGTAACAAATGATGTTATTCATCCAGGCTTGATAACAAGGTATACGTAGCAGTTTTATGACTCAATCACTTTGAGAGTTTGCAAAAGAGAGGACTAAAAAAACCCTTTGTATGCGTTTGATAAAGTCAGCAGAATGAAGGTAAAGTGTCTTTGAGTTTAGGTATGCAAGTTTTTTATCAGACCCAGTTACCAATTTAGTCCAATTTTCATTTAAGCATGATTTAGTATAAAGCCTTATTCATTGCACAAACTTATTAAGTTGTGAATTTTATTTGCACCCTGCTTTAGATGGAAGCTGTCTTTCTTTTCTTTTTTTGCCACGACCAAAAAGAAATTCCACATCCTTGTCTGCATAGGGTCTAGGGATGCAATATCTGTTGCAGTTTCTAGTGAGATTCAAAGTCACACAAGTAAAGTGGTCCAACATTTTTATAATATCATTTGTGTAGGTGGAGGTGGTTTCTCTTATCAGAAGTGATAAGAGATTAGTTACTACTGTGGTACCAATGAATAGTAGGAAGAGATGTGTCAACAATCTGACATTGCTCCAAATTTGTTGCACCAGGCATTTCACCGTAATTGATAAAAATGATATATCATCAGGTGTAGGTGTGTGTGAGCTTTACATTTGTAAAACTTTGGCCAATTTTTCAAGGTCAGTTTACTAGATTTTATTGCATTTCAGTGATAAGGTTGATTAAAGTGTGATTGGATTTTATTTCATATTATAATTCCCTTTTATGTTAAAGAAACTTTTAGGATATTAAGTAGAAAGAGGGGGCAGGGATGTATCTGCCATTTTTTCCACAACACCCCATTAAAACATGATGCTGTGGATAACAGTTTCTTTCCCCCACTATAAAAATTAAAGGCGTTTCTGCTTAGGGTAAAAATTTATCCAGGTACCTAATCAATATACACCATAACTGTGCAAGGGCCCATTCAGAATAGGGGACTAACTAGTCCCAGGGTCAAATATGGCAACCTACTACAAAGCTTGCCATCTTATCTGCTATCAGACACTGAATGGATATCCCATTGGGAAATATTCAAGTGTGTCAGGCCAGTCAGCCATATTTGACCCTGGGACTAGTTAGTCCCCTATTCTGAATGGGGTCCAAGCCTGTTTAAACCAGTAATGATCAAGGGTGACACAGATTTAATCTTACCTGGCTTAGTTTACATTTGGAAAATAATTGTTGTATTGATGTTAATAGCACACACACAAACCCACACACACACACACACACACACACACACACACACACACACACACACACATTTCCCCTTTATGCCCAATATCAGCTTCACCTCATTCATTCATTCATATCACAGTACCAGCACATGTATTTTAGGTGATATATCTGTGACCACAATATTAAAACCTTGATCAATGATGTTAAAATTGCATGTTTTTTTATAACCAATGAAATTTAAATGTTTTAAACAAATTATATTTAATCGTGTAATGGTTATCATTTACAAAATTTGCTTTATTTAAAAAAAGAAAGAAAAAGCACTGTTACCATAAATCCCCCCTTATTGAGAACAGCCGCAACATTAGGTCTGTAATCTCACAGCAGGTTCAAAAAACCAGTATGCTAGACAGGCTTTCAGAATTTAGAAATGAAGATTGTTTAAGCCCTCCTGGTCGCCTGCTAGGTGTGCATTTGGGCTAGTGTATATGATGAAATTGTCTTTGAATTGTCTTCATCTTTAAGCATATAAAGACATTCTAAACTTTCATTGAACTTGCCAGTCCCTTTCTACCCACCCCTGTAGTCATGCTAGAATTTGGTCTGATGCCAGGTTGCATGTAATGGCTGTCTGGCATTTCTGGAATTTGGCGCCACTTTTATAGAATAATGGGTATTTTTTGTGTGAATTATTTTTTATTGTTTTACAGCTATGTATGCCATTGGAATATCATATGACATTGATGTGTAAGGAAATTAATCCCATAATTGTTGTGCTGGAAATTGTCTGTTTTAATGAATCACTCTAGTATATGTGTTAGTGCACAAGCTTTTATTTCCCTGTACTGTCGCTGATGTATACCTCATGGCCAGTACTAATTGCAGATAGTAGACAATCAATTTGTTTATATGGAAGCAAATATAACTGCATATGTATGCCAATTTCAAAATGAGTACTTTACAGATGGATGGATGTTAATTGATCTGCCATATTTTTACTTCACCATGGGTATAGGTTAATAGGTTAACAGGTGCAGATCTAGGATATGTAGAAAAGGGGAAAGGCAGTGTAAAATATTGAGCATACATTTTGCACTGTATATAAAAATGTTATATTTGAGGGATTTCAAGACTTGAAATGGGCGTAACACGCCCTTGAGATATGCAATTTGAAAAGAATGGGTCCAGCGAAAAAATTCTACTAATAGTACCTTGAAGTATTAAAACCATGTGTGTGGATGATCACATGGTGAGCTGGATAATTTATGTGACTTCTGAAAAGACCCCGCCCATACCACCCTTGTTGTTTGTTTGTAAATAAAATGGGGTTAACATTTTGTGTTTAATGTAAATATATTCTGTATAGTTTCCAATATCAATATATATACAATACTGTCATGAATATATTCTTGATATATTTAGCCCAGGTCAAGTCCTGAGTAATCACATCATGATAGTTTATTTTAGCCCAGGGTCAGTTCTGCATAAATTATTACGATAAGAGCTCAATTTATGTACAGATGCTGTTGTGTATGTACGTGTATACTTAGCCATTACCAGGGTTTTTTGTGCCATTGAAATTGACCTGTTAGCTCTTGTGCTAGCAAAAGCTTAAAAACTGAGCTGTTGTTTTACTTTCAACTTGTGGAAGCCACAGACTTCATACAGACTGCATGATATGAAAATGTGCTCGATCAGAATTTTTTAAAAAAGTTTTCCCATTTGTTTTTCTAGCTTTCTTTTATAGCATCTTTTTCTGTACTATGACCTTTTAACTTAGATAACTAGAAACAGGAAGGCTGTTGTCTTGCACACTTGTTGGCCTTTTAGTGTTTGCATTTCTGTCGTACCACCATTATTTGGTTAAAGGTACACTCCTTGGGTTTGAAAATCCCCCGAATTCTATTTTTTGCAATCCACAGCTTCTTATAAAACCTTATATACTCCTTATAAATGATTTAATATTTTCTGGAGCGTACTTGATGTTGATATTTACATAGGAGAATATATAGGAAGACGATTGCTGGCTATTTTGACTGGCCTGTCAAACTAAATCAGCCTTATAAATAAATTTAATAATTAAGGGTTGAATCCAAATACAGAGAGGGATAGATGAATGATTTGTGAGTATGAGAAAATTCCTTATTTCCTTGGTAATATCCATTTTGGGGGGAAAATCCCATGGAGTTACTCTCTAAGTTTGTTACCCTGGATATAGTAAAACCAATTTGCCATGCTTAGGCTTGGGAATCCTTTGTATTTTGTAATCTGCAGATGTCTGCTTTGGTAAAGCTGGAGATAGAGGTTCTAGTCATTGGTGCAGATGTTATGCAGATATTGGGTGTAAGGTGGGATTGATTCTCTGGTCTTGTGCATGCCTCTGCTTTGGCAGTCTTTGGAATCTGCAAATTGAATAAGCAATGTGTTATAATATGCCAAATATCACTAACATAACTGAGCATGTGAAAATCGAGAAAAATTCTGACAAGTGAACAGGGTTGATTGTGCCTTTAGTATTAGTGCCAAGCTTCATCAACGGGCATATTCAGCGTCTTTGAGGGAAAACAGTTTGCTATGTGGCTCATCTTTCTTTTTTCAAGGATATGCTGATTATTTTTTATGTACAAATAGTCAAGACTGTCAGCTAGTTAGAAGGTTTACACATTGTGTGTTTTTCACTGGTGGTATCGAAATACTTTCGAAATTGATATGTTAATATTTGTGTGACACTTTGCTTATATTATTGTACCACCAGCGTTAGCGCTGGCAGTACACATGGTTTTAGTCCCGTCCGGATCGTTCTGCCGGCTCTGCCAGCTCCGCCTGACGGCTACCATTACCGCTTCTTCTCCTAGCCGGTAAGGGCCCCCATACCCATCTCTTGGATTTAGGTCACCTATAATCTCAACTCGTTCCACGTAAAATTTGGGCTTTGTCGGTATTGGGGTCTAGGTGTGGCACTCATTGCAATGCACCCTTGTCTAAAAATGGCAAAATTAAATGCTAATTATCTACCCTACGGAAGGAATTATGGGAAAAATTTCTACAGACGGCTTTCCAAAAGTCATATGTGTAGATTTCAAATATGCCCTTGGATTTGACTTTTGACCTTTTTTTCAAGGTCAAATGGGCCAAAATTTTCAAAAAAATGAATTTTTTTTACGAAAAAAAAATTATTTGCCCTGTTATTCAGACACCACACAGACTTAACCAATAATATTATTGCAAAGTGTTACCCTTCAGGTCATCTTTCATCTCCGTGAATTTGGGGTCAATCGGTGCATTTTCACGGGAGTAGCGGCCATAAGATACTGAAACTGAAAACTGTCTCTAATTCGGGAACCGTTAATGCTAGAGACCCATTCTTTTTTGCATTTTGTAGAGCATGTAAAGCCCAACACTGGAGGTGGTCTCGGTTTTTTTGTATTCCATACGGTTTTCGAGTTACGCTGTATCAAAAAGTACATATTGGTGGTGAAAGCAAAATGTGCAGTACGGTAATGGATAATAAATTTTGAACTCTGGAAAAATAAAACATAAGGCTTGGCAAAGCAGACAACTTGTGTTCAAAAATGACATTATTTCATCAAATTTGAACTTCTGAAACTTCAGAGCACCTCCTATTTCAAGAATTTTGACCAAAATGACATTTTCTTTATTTTAATTAATTTTTTCTGTACGAAATTTAAGGCACATTATGGTAACTCCAAAATTATAACATTTAGTCCCTTATATCTCCAAAACTGGCAGAGATAGGTCCATAGTTACTATTGAAGTTGAATAGGAAGTCATATACTGGCAATCTTACTATGACCTTGAAATTGACCTTTGACCTACTTTTCACCATGAACTGAACTTTGCAAATTTTTCTTCCCTTTTATCTCCAAAACTGGCAGAGATAGGTCCATAGTTACTATTGAAGTTGAATAGGAAGTCATATACTGGCAATCTAAATGTGACCTTAAAATTGACCTTTGACCTACTTTTCACCATGAACTGAACTTTGCAAATTTTGCTTCCCTTTTATCTCCAAAACTGGCAGAGATAGGTCCATAGTTACTATTGAAGTTGAATAGGAAGTCATATACTGGCAATCTAAATGTGACCTTGAAATTGACCTTTGACCTACTTTTCACCATGAATTGAACTTTGCAAATTTTGCTTCCCTTTTATCTCCAAAACTGGCAGAGATAGGTCCATAGTTACTATTGAACTTGAATAGGAAGTCATATCCAGGCTTGACCTTTGACCTACTTATTATCATGAACTGAACTCTGCTTATTTCTTTCTCTTTTAACTCCATACCTGGCAGAGATAGGTCCATAGTTACTATTGAAGTTGAATAGGAAGTCATATACTGGCAATTTACTGTGACCTTGAAATTGACCTTTGGCCTACCTTATGATGAACTAAACTTTGATTGTACCATTTTTAGTTATATATATTTTTTGCATATTTTGAAAATTCTTGTTGATTGCATTTTTACAGCTTGTCAAGCACAAGACTGGTGGCTGTGTTCCTTATTTTGTGTATGTGGGGGTCTATACGAATGCGCTTACTCCAGCTGGTGGTACAATATTCGGAGGCGGTATCGCCTCTCTGATCCTCTAGTTTGAAATCCAAATCCAGTGGTTAGGTAATATTAGTATAAGCTTCTGCCTTTTTATCTTGTGGAACTGCTTTCAGGCTGAAGCTGCTGTTCATACTGATGTGACAGTTTGCATGCAGCCTTAGTGGGTTTCCATTTGAAAGCTTTAGCTGCCTCATATCATAATTACAATTGAATTTATAAGAAGGGAAACAGCCAGGTATTGTCTCTGCCAAGAGTGTTTTCAAATGTTTTCAAAGTTAATATATATGGTTTGGGTATTTGGTTTGTTGATCCTTTTCATGTGCATTTGCAAAAGAAGGGCTTGGTGTAATAATTTAACCAGATGGTAAATTGTGAGTGTCAGAGGGATGATATAACTACTGTGTTCTGTCAAAAGACAGAAATGTTCAGTCATGCCTGTGAGACCTGTCTGTATATAGTAGGACTTTATATCTAACCCCCCATTTACCATTCAGCAGAAAGATAACTATCTGTTTATCCCTGGATGACTGGGGTACGTATGAAAATAATGTTGTGAGGATGAACACACCCCTAGGTGAAACAGTTGGATTGATAATGACTTTAAAAGCTGCAAGTGGCCCACCATAAAATACTGCTGAAGATCCATATGAGTTCATACGCTTTTAAAGGTAGAAGACCACTCATTTCCATCTAATGGGTATTAGATTGTGGCTAAGAGATATGAAAATATGAGGAACCTCCATCTATCTATGTTGCATCTCTCTGAACCACTGAATCCTAGGGGTCAAAAATTCACTCATATAATTCACTCATATAATTTAAACAATATGTAATTTAAACAAACTAAACTGCAGCATCATAACGTCAGTTGTGTAATAGTTTGGTAAAATCCCATGCACTTTTACACATTGTAATTATGCACCAAGTGATAAATATCTCTTTCTTGTATAAGGGAAATAGTACTTTGGCTAAAGCCTCGGTCACAACCGGATGCACGAATTTCAGGATCGTACATCCCCTGCGATTTTTGGGTGTTGCGGAGGCCATGGAGGTCGTAGAGATTGAGGAAAATCTGCCTTGCGAGTCGCAAGGGCCACATGAGATTTCCTTTTAAGCAGGGACGCTAATTGCAAGGAGCGATGGCCGTGGAATTTGTACTCATTTCTTGAGTTTGTCTTGCGTGGGACTTGAGATTCTGCACAAAATTTGTACGCAAACAGCCCGTAAGAGCCCGTACGGCTGGTTGTGATTGAGGCTTAAAGAAAAAATAGTAACCTTGATCTGTTTTACTATTTTCGTAGCAATTCACTCATAAGTCACTTTGCACATGATATTCCATTACTTTACTCTGCAATGTTATATCAACAACTTAATTGTCTGTATGCACCAAATTTAGCAGTGATATTCTTGATGTAATAAATGTCATTTTTTCCTCGCCAAACTGTGCTCCAAACTGTGATAGCTTCAAAGTTGAAACATATAAAAGTTTGTCCTTGCCAACAGTGCATTTTATGAGTTCAACAGATTTGAACATTTGCTGTGAAGTATCATTTTCTAAACCTCAGCTTTCTTTACTTTTCCAAGTAAGCCTGCCACAAGATGGCACTCTGGGAAGATGAGGGCGATGATGAGGATTTTTTTTCTAAAACATGTAAATTGAAATGCAAAATTATGACCAAATGACTTAATATATGTTTTGCAGGTGATTGCTGGCTTCTGGCTGCCATTGCATCACTGTCTTTGAACAAAGAACTCCTCCACAAGGTGGTACCACCAAATCAGTCTTTTGCTGATGGAGAATATGCAGGAATATTTGTGTTCAAGGTAAGGTACATGTACATGAACGATACTTTGTACAAGTCTTGCACATATTACATAACTTACTGATGATATATTTTCATGTTTTGCATATAAATTTAAAAATGAACATTTATATAAACTAGGTATTTTACTTCATTTTACCAATATGTTTATATTCTGATATATTTATGAATATTGCAAGGGACATTCATTGACCTGAAAAGCCTATGGGCCCATTCCCAGACCCTATTATACTGTGGATCCATCTATCTCCAAGGGAATTTTCACTAAATTCAGTCAACTTAAGCAACTTAGGTGTCTGTCACAACCCTTGAAGCTGCTAGGGGGTAATTAATTATCATTTAGCAGCTTTAGTAGGCATGCCAGACATCTAAGCCGCTTAAGCTGAAAGCAATTTAGAAAGAAACTTCTTGGAGATTGATCGATCCTGTTAGATTGATCTGGGTGTGGGAACCCAGTAATGATGTCCTTCCCTGATATTGTGATATGTTGCTCAGTGAATCAGAGCTTGTTGTGGGACAACAATTTAATTCATTTGTTTACATACAAGTACCTGCAAAGTAAAACTCATGATATTAGTGCTTTAATAGCTGTAGATTTTGACAGTTGGCGTCATTTGAATAAAACATGCCAACCAAGAGAAAAACCAAAACTGTATGGACATCAAGAGGAATTAAGTCATAATGGAGCAGTTGCTATTTCCCCACAATACTGGCATGTTCATCTGTTAATCTGATTGCATTCAGCTAGAATCCCCAACGGAGTTAGTTTAAACTACCTAGTACAATAGTTTCACTTTGAACACACCCAAGATCCCACACATACTTATGTGAGATGGAACCTATTTCAGTGATGATGACAGTTAATATGGCCAAGAGTTATGGTGCCATTTGTTTATATCTAATGCAGTGAAATTTTATCTTTTTTATTTAATTTTCAGTTTTGGCGTTTTGGCAAATGGGTGGATGTGGTGGTTGATGATCGTCTTCCAACTTATAATAACCGCCTTGTCTTTATGCACTCTGCTGACAGTAATGAGTTCTGGTCTGCCATGCTGGAGAAGGCTTATGCCAAGTAAGCTCAGTAACATTAGTAGATTCACATTTATTGAATGCTTTATAGCTTATTTCTCTCTTTGATTCATAATATGAACCCTACATCATGGCAACAAATGTCAAACAAGCAATTTACTGTGTAGTCTTCTGATAATACAGATCAATAAATGGCCATTGTACTAACACAAAGCAACAACCTCAGAGCAAGTAAATTTTTTCAATATAAGAAATGGATATTGCTGCTGCTTGTCCCTGTGGATTAAGTGTCCTCTCATTTCATTTTGCAATGTACTGAGTTAGCTTATGATGTAATTTCTGCAAGACTTTTGGTATCTTTGTCACACTTTGTTGGCCTTGGCTGTACATGAAGCCATAAGTTGATAACTGATGTCAGGATTATTCTACATAAATGTATGTTAAAACATTAATTTTAAATTGAATATCTGGCTTAAGGTCATCAAGTATGGTCTTCAAATTTTGCAGTCATATTTCACATCCATCAAAATAAACAATACTTTGGAAATATAGCTATATAATTGAAAAAGAACATTTGCAAATTGATATATTTGTAGTAGGATTAAAGATTTGGGAGAATTTACATACAGTTATATCTTGTGATGTCATATGATATGTAATAATATTTGTCACCTGGTTTTAGGCTATGTGGTTCTTATGAGGCACTCAAGGGAGGTTCAACATGTGAGGCTATGGAGGACTTCACAGGGGGTGTCACTGAGATGTTTGATTTGAGGCAGCCCCAGCCACCAAATCTCTTCCAGATAATGCAGAAGGCCTTCGAAAGAAGTTCTCTCATGGGGTGCTCAATTGAGGTTAGACAGCACTTTTAGATTGAGACGAATTAGAAATGTCTTATATTATTGTTTAAGTAATTGCAAAAATTTGCTGTGTTGGCAAATTGAATATTTTATTTTTGACATAATTTTTCATTTGGAGTAAATAAAACTTCTGACCAAGAGGGAGAGCAGAAAGGATTTTTTCATTTCTTTTATCCTATTACATATAAAGAATTAAAACCTCTAGGCCTATTTTTTCCAAACACTTTGCCAATTTCAGTCACGTACAATATCAGGGTGTAGTTCTACATAAATTTGGAAAACCTTTGTAAAGCACCATTGTTGTTGCACTAAATAAGATTTGCTCAGGTGCAGTATTCATTTTCATTCTTCTTAAACTCGGTGTCAGCTCCAAGTTCATTACCTATGTGCTTACAAAATCTGAAAACCAATTTGGAAATGCTCCACTTTTACAGAAATTGCATTTGCACTGTACTGAGGTGAGTTTTTGAGCAAAACAAAATGCAGGGTTAATGGTGCATTTTACAGGTTTGGCTGCAAGCGTCTGAAGCAGCTCTGTGATACACCTGTAATGAATCATAAACAGATTTCAGTTTCTGAGAATATATGTGAAGCATATGTTTGTTAGTCAGAATGTTACCATGTATAAGAGATTTTTATGTTTGCAGGATTTTTTCAGTTCAGTTCAGTTCACACACACACACACACACACACACACACACACACACACACACACACACACACACACACACACACACACGTGGGGCAGCTCTGAAAGAGCTAGCATCTGAAATAATTTTAAATTCAAAAGTGAAACTGATTGAAAAAATTTACTTCATAAACAGTGCTCATTATCTTATCACTGTTTACTTCATAAACAGTGATAAGATAATGAGCAGTGCTGATCTTTATGTCTCAGAAAATAAGTGCTTACTTGCTGTCTGTGCACTGCAAACATCACAGCACAAAAGATAGACATTATTCATGTGTCATAAATCATGCTTTTTGGTGTGACAGTGAAAAACATTAGCAAATTAAAGGTTTACAAGTCTGGGCTATTTTATCAGCACTTATAGCCAACTCAGTAGGTATCATGATTTCCCTTAGTGGGAAGTTTCATTCCCAAGTTATTGCATAACGTGTTTCAGCTGACTCGTGAATCATTTGAATGTTTGTATTTTTAGCTTTTTCATCTGTATTATTTTTATGGCAGCTCAAGGTTCTTGGCTGAATGGTACTCTAGGGCCATGATCAATTTTACTATCAAAAGTGGCAAATTTCATTAATCTCTTTTTAGAATGAATAGTATAACAGAATATAACATGGTTGATGGAAGTAAGGTTAAAGTCAGACATTGTTGCTCAGCTCAGCCCATTGCTTACATGATTTCACATAATGAAAAGAACAGTTGAAGTTTTGCCTACTTCTTGGCATATTTAAAGGGAACAGAATTGAATGTAGCATTGTTCGCTTTTTGCTACATATGATCAGGAAATAATTCTGAAATCAAAACTTGCATATGACAGTCTACTAGTATTTTCAACTCTTTCTCAAGCATGTTACAGAGAAATTTGAATAGCAAGCTGAGTTTATGAGTGGCACAAGTAAAAGTGATTTTGATTTGCAATAAGAAATGAGTCACATTTCCTGTCACTAAGGTGTCTTTCCTCTCAATGTCATTGCACCACAGTTGATAAATATGCATTTGATTGAGACATTATTTTTAGACTTGATATATTATGACATAGAACAATGAGTTTCTATGCCCCATTGCAGCAAAAACAGTTTTAAGCAAATCTGATTCAGATAACATTCTTGAATCAGTAGTTGTTTAGGGACATGTAGGACAAAAATGTAGCTCAAATTTATAATAAGACCTTTAGTTAAAAAGTCATGCCCCCCCCCCCCCCATCCCTGAAGCAGAGAAAAATTTGTCATAACTCCAATTTCATATTTTTACTCATTAAATTTGAATCATAGAACCACACAAAAAATTGCTGAGGCATTGTTGAAAGCCCATTGTCATTATCCTCTACCAGAGTCACAGATTTTTTATTACATGCTCACATATTTCTTTGGCTATTCACTAGCTCAGTACGCATTTCTGCATTACCCAGCAAGAAAATTTGCACTAAAATGATTTTATTATTGAGCTGACCTCTTGCAGAGGGCATTTTGCCATTGGTTTATGGCTCTTTAGAAATCATTTAAATACTTGCTCTGGTCATTAATTTACATTGAATTTAGAAATAGCATTTTAATCCAAGGTCTGCAGTGGAATTGCACAATAAAACTTTAAGAAAATTAAATTACTGGCTATTATTAATGAATTACCATCTTGATGGAAGTTAAAGATCTGCAGGTATTATGAGAAGGAGAGATTGTCTTATGTACACCTGTGTCTGCTTTCACAAATATTTCATGTCATATCATATAACATTGAATATTGCAGGCTAGTCCACATCAGCTGGAGGCAGAACTCTCCAATGGCCTTATCATGGGACATGCATACAGCATAACAAGTGTCAAGATGGTAGGTATTGGCCACTGGTCTGGTTCACTGAGTTTTTAAACAAGGGAAATGAGACTATGTTATAATTTTCCTGTAATTAGATATTGATAAGACAATGAGACCAGAAAATTATGCTTACGAGTTTAGAACCTGTTTAGATACTGGTTAATTTTTTGTCACTAAGACTGAAAACCTTTTTATTTATCATCAATTTTTTAAAAGCCTTATTCACATATAGGGGATGTCTTCTTCAGAAGGATCATGCCTTTGTTCCTTGTCTTGATTAGGCAATGCATTAGCTATTTTAAAGAGTTTATCTCTTCCTGCACAAGATAGGAGCATAATTATATCCTTTTGTTTTGTAATTCCATGTAATCTAAAACTTCATAAGCAACTGTGGCCTTCACTGAAGCATGCTTCCCCCACACCTGTAAACATTTGGTAACTACCTGAAGCAACAAAACAACACCAGAATTGCTACAGACACAAACAATCATTTGCTATCAATATAAACATCGTTCCCCATGTAAGATGATGCTAGGTATATATCTGCTGTGCAGCAGATGGGTTGTTTTATAATGATAACAATTGTAGTGTGAGCTATCAATAGTGCACACCACATGGGAGATGGGAGGTGGCAATAAGCTGAATACACAAGCAAGGTTATTAATTTATGTACCAGAGATCAGATGAAGGAACATGACTGGTCCAGGAAAGGAGAGGGGGTGGATACCAAAGGATTTGAAGTTCAGAGCTGCTTACGGGCCTCAGATTATGTGGTGCACACAAGCTGCTGTTAAATTCAGGGTAGAGGTTTGCTTAACAAAATGCAACCCATGCAACCTGGTGGAGCTCTTCGGGCTCTATGCAAATCGCCTCTGAAGCAATATTAATGAAGGGTGGGCTGTTTTATTTCAGGTGGACATTAAGACTCCACGTATGGCTGGTAAGATCCCTCTGATCAGAATTCGCAATCCTTGGGGCAATGAAGCTGAGTGGAAGGGTGCTTGGGGAGACAAGTAAGGAGTATTTTGGAACTGCTGTTTGGCTACAGCATATTTGTAGGGCTTTTGTGCAGATTGCTGTCTACCACAATGGTCCTTTAAAAAAATAGAAAAACAATCCATCAACATGTCCTATGTATACAATATATACAGCATATAATATATTTGGGGTTAAAGATTTGAATTCTTTATTCTGTATTTTCTTACACACACACACACACACACACACACACACACACACACACACACACACACACACACACACACACACACACACACACACACACACACACACACACACACATAT